TTTGACCTCTGTACATATGCCATGGTACATACATGCCTACACATTAACACACATGTAATAAATAAATAGATTAGATTAGATGGATGGATGATGAATGGATGGATATAAAAGAAGAAGCAAGGATGGATTTAAAAGACAGAGTGACAGATTCTGAGAAACTTAGGAGTAGGTGGAGGTGGAGATGGAAGCAAACAGCTAGCAGACAGGAAGAACTCAGGTTGAGAACATTTAGTTTGGGATTCATGCTTGAGTAGATGTCACCTTAGCTAGAAATGTCCATGAGAGGAGCTGAGAGCATGGAGCTTCAGTGAGTAATGGATTTCCATGTGGAATACATAGGTGATGGTGAGAATATGATATGGCAAAGATTGGAACCCCAATGCTATAGTCTGAGCCAGAGTCTCTCAGAGGCACACATAAAAACTAGGTATAGTTGGCATTCGTTTGTCATCTCAGCTCCAGGGAAGCAAGGGAGGAGAATCTCTAGGGCTCGGTGGCCTAGCAGTATTGTTGGAGCTTGTTCACCAGGTAATGCAATTAGGAGGCTGTGGAACCTTTAGGAGGTGTGGCCTAGAGGTTATTGGAGCATGTCGGTGGATGAGATTGTGGTGCTGGTCTTGTCGGTATTGCTTCCTGGACGAGAGAAGCAGTTCTATGGAGCAGTCTTATGTGCTCCTGTCAAGGAAGGCCTCATTAGAGACCCAAAGGAATGCGCCACTTATCTTGCCCTGGATCTTCCAAATCTGAGAGCACAAATAACTCCTTTTTCTTTGTGTGTTAGGGGGAGTACATACATGCATATATGTTCACGTGTGTGCATGTGCACATGGAGTCCGGGGGTCAAGGTTGAGTGTCTTCCTCTATCATTTTCCACCTTGTTTCTTGAAACAGGGTCTCTCACTGAATCTGAAGCTTCTTAATTCAACCAGACTGCCTGGCCAGTGAGCCCTAGAGATGCTCCTGTCTTGCTTCCCTAGAGCTGAGATTGTAAGCGCAAGTCAAGCGTACCTAGCTCTTTTTTTTTTTTTTTTTTTTTGAGTTTTTTGAGACAGGGTTTCCCTGTGGCTTTGGAGGCTGTCCTGGAACTAGCTCTTGTAGACCAGGCTGGTCTCGAGCTCACAGAGATCCACTTGCCTCTGCCTCCCGAGTGCTAGAACTAAAGGCGTGCGCCACCAACAACCGGCATGCCCAGCATCTTTACTCAATGCTCTACCTTATTTGAGCCAGGGTTACTGACTGAGTCTGTAGCTCTGTGTTTCAGCTACATTGGCTGGCCAGTAAACCCCAGGGATCCTGTCTCCATTTCCCAGCATTAGTGTTATATGCATGTACTTTTATGGCTGTCTTTTACAAGCATGCTGGGGACCCGAACTTAAGTACTTATTCTTACACATCAGGCACTATACCCACTTATCTCCACAGACTCCCACCACCACCTCGTTTTTTTTTTTTCTTTAGATAAAGGGTTATATAGCCCAGGTTTTTTTTTTAATATTTTAGTCCCTGGACAGTCAGGGACAAACTGAGTAACCCTCTCTCAAAAGAATAATAAATAATAAACCACTTTGTGTCAGCTTGCCATCTCCATCACAGTCTCAGAATTGTAGCAGAGGATAATCTTGAACTTCTGATCCTCCTGCATATACCTCCTCAGTGCTGGGATTAGAGGCAAGAAGTACCAGGCCTGCTTTACTAAGTGCTAAGAAGGAAACCTGAGAGATTATGCATGCTCCCTACCCACTGAGCTGGATTATGATCTAGCTTTAAGCACTGACTGTTTTGTTTAGCATTTTATCCTTACACCCCCAACATTCTGGCTAGCTCTCCTATGTCATCAGAGTATATAGAATTGGTTGAAATGCTTAAGAACAATTATTTTAATACAAGCCTACAAAAAATATTGTACTTAAAAATAACACACACACCTTTAATCTCAGCACTCGGGAGGCAGAAGCAAGCAGATCCCTGTGAGTTTGAGGCCAACCTGGTCTACAGAGTGAGTTCCACGACGGGCTCCAAAGCAACAGAGAAGCTCTGTCTCGAAAAACAAACAAACAAGAAGAACCAAAGTGCAAATCCCAGGAACCTACATAAAGCCAGGAATACATGCCTGTAATTCCAGTGTTCCAAAGATGGGATATGAAGTAGAAACAAGAGAATCTGTGGAAGCTCACATGCCAGCTATCCTGGTGTATTCAGCAGCAAACAAGGTACAAGGCGAGGACTGACACCCAAGGTTGTCCCCTGACCTCCATATATGTTGTCCTTGAAAGCATGTACCCACATGCAGGCAAGCACACATGAACACACTACACACATACACACACACACACACACACACACACACACACACACACTCCAACTCTCTGATTAGTAATTTTCTAAATCATGCATCTTCCTTCTGTGCTTGCTCTGTAACCAAAACCCCATGAAAACAGATTTCAATGGAACATTCCTTGCAGGTGCTACTAAATCGGTATTAAATATAGAACATAAGCCTATTGGGCTTAAGGATCAGGAACATTGCAAAATAAGCCCTTGTATTCAGTTGTCTAGCTTACGTCTGAAAGGTAAATGGCTGCAGGCCCAACTACTGAAGTTCTAAGTTACAAAATGTGCTCTCATTAATTCACCTTATTTTGTTGCTCCCTACTTAATTATTTAGTAAACTGATAAAGATCAACTAAATAGAAAAATGATCAAAGGCTGGGTTTCTAGTAAAACATCAAGCCTTAGTTTTGCAATACTTTAACATTTGAAAAAAATTTAAATGTTTTACTAATGTTATAGTACCAAACAGCATAAAATATAATTTGGAAAATTAAAAAAATTCTGTGTTGATTCACCCTTGACTGTATTCATTTAGATACTTTCATGCTGCCTAGCCAGCATAATGAGTCCCTGTTTGTTTGGATTTTTTAACTAATAATTTCTTTCCAGACATGTAGACATTGCTAAATTGAAATTCCTTGAAACTGCTACATGAAAAATCATTTTCAGCAAATGAAACAAAAGCTCATTTTCTGGTTAGTCTTAGACTGTATTTATGCAAAGCCAAAACAAGCAGCTGAAAAGTTAGAAGTTCAAATTTTGCTTTCCTTTTCCACAAAATGGACCAGCTGTTACACAGTCATAACTGTGGGGATAATAAGAGCCATCAAACAACAGGAAAAAGGCTATGGGAGTTCTTTAATAAATGATATGGCCTTTTCAAGTCCATGAAATTGAAGCAATCTGATTCTGAGTGGAGAAGCAGGCCTAACCGGAAACACTAGACAGTGATGCAAAATCTGTTACTCTTCAGACATCAAGCAAAAGGGAAATGACCGACCACCACAGTTAGCAAAACATATAGAATGAAACAGTGTGTGTTAGGGTTGGGCAGGAAGAGTGGGGACAGTCTCACAGTAGCCCAGGCTGGTTTTGAACAAGCTATCTAACTGAGGGTGAACTTCAACTCCTGATTCTTCTTGGTTCAGTCTCCCAAATGCTGGAATTTCTGGGATGAGTCACCATTCACAGCCAGAATAAAAGCTTTTAATTCTTTGGTAAATAAAACACAGTGCCCGGTTTCCCAAAGACAATTCATTTATCACCAAAATATAGTCTCATTGGGCTTCATGGCAAAATCCAAAACCCCAAAATGTCATTTTGAAAAAAGAACTGTATTTCCCCCCACTAATTTTAGCACCCCCCTTTTTTTTACTTTTTGAGACAGGGTTTCTCTGTGTAACAGCTCTGGCTGTCTTGGAACTTGCTCCTGGTGGTGGTCCTGCCTGTCTCTGCCTCCCGAGTTCTGGGATTAAAGGTGTGCCCCACCACTGCCCCAATTCGTCTGGCCTTTTTTAAAAGCATGTTTTCATGGTTCATCACCACAATGCATGTATCGAGAATTTGCTCCATTTTGAGGCTATAGATTACTTTCTGTTTTTATTTGTGTGTGTGCATGCGTGCATGATGCATGTGTTTGTGGGGGGCCTGCAGATGCCAGAAGAGTCCACCAGAGCTGGATTTACACAAGGTTGTGAGCTATATGATGTAGATTTCCACATCGGATCCCAGTCCCTCTGCAAGCCATCTCTCTGGACCCTAGATAACTTTTTAAAAATTATGTATCTCTCTGTTGGTATGTGCATGTGTTGAGGACTCCAGAAGAGGGGTGGAATTCCTAGGAGATGGACTTAACAGGTGGTTGTCAGCTGCCCAACATGGGTTCTGGGACCTGAACCTGGGTCCTCTGTAAGGGCAGCAAGCATTAACTCCTGAGATATCTCTCCAGCCCTACAGAAGATTTATTTCTGCCATGCTATCTCCCCATAGCATCATAAAAGAAAAACAGCCAGATAAATAGTAGCAGGGATTTTCTATGACCTTTAGCAATTGCTAGGGACTGCAGATGGAAACAATAAGCAAGCTGTCAATAGTTGTAATTAGCAAAGAAAACCATATAACTTCATTTCCATATTTTGTTATAGTCATTTAGATGAGACTTAATCATGGGTTTTAAACACATGCATACACATATGTGTCAGACACCAGCATTTGTAGGAAAGCACACAATTGTTACATACTGACTTGGTGGCAGTGGACTTGATTTAAACACTGGGGATCTAAACCACGAATTAGAAGGACCAAGACATAATGCAACTCAATTGTCCTCAGGTGCTGCCCCTCTCCGTGATGACATCTTTATATTGTGAAACTCTGAACTGATCACACTCGTTTTTTTGTTTAACCACACTCCTCCGGTCCAACTGCCTTTTGAAGTATGTACTTTGTTTTGTCATATCACAGAACTGAACTCAGGGCCAAGCATATGCTAGTCAGTCCCTACCAATGAACTGCCTCTCTAGCCCTCCTCCTTTGTTTATCTTCAAGCTATTAGACATACTGGATATTTGTATTTCACCTTGAAGTAAAGCAAGAGTGAAAAGAACAGAGCGCTACTGCTGTTACCAAGCAACCCTGGATACACGCTTTTACAAAAAGACACACAGATCTGAAATTCAAAACTCATTTATTGAACGAATAGTATATGCAAGAATACCAATAAAAGGAAACTAATACTACAAACTACAATTTTGAAAATAAAGCCAATATAACAGGAACAAAATATACATAACATGTGAGGAATGTTTGATTTTTGACCCATGACGCATTCCTTATCTTTACAATTAACTTAAATGTCTGTTAAAACAAAACTGTGCCTTGGTCTAACTTCAGTGCTTTTTCAAAAAGCAACAACATTCTACAACACTTCTGCTTTGAGATATTTGAGATTCACACATTTGTTCAAGTACATAGATTCGAGTCAATAGCAGATCTCTAGATCATGTTACTCTGTTAGTATCTTGAGTAGTGTACACTGAACAAGTACCACCTCAAGTTTGAGACTGCTGATCCTTGAAATGAAATTTACTCAGGTGTGGGTTTTTAAACAATGAGATGAAAGTAAAACTCCCCCCTCCCCCCAGGAACTTATTAAAGTATAGAAACGCAAGTCTACCCTTCTACTCTAAAGAACATTTCCTACTAACATTTCTGGTAAGGCAATAAATGCTCCAGAATAATCTTCAATATACGCTTGCAAAGATTACACATTTGAATATTAATAATGACAAAAAAGAATAAAACAAATAAAGAAAAACAAGAAAAAAGACTCATCAAAATTTCAGGCTAAAATACGCATTAGACAGCCATGGCAGTGTTTTTGGAATTGATGTAAATGCCATCTATTTCCCAAATAATGTCATGCTTAGTAAAACTACAGTTAAGGACTTAAGAGATGTACAGTAAATACACTGCTGAGGTCCATTTCTCTAAATAGGAATACCACAATGTAATTACTAGCCAGCTGATGAAGATGCTACTTGGGAACATAAGTACTGTACAATTTTTACATTGTAAGGCACTTTTACTCAGCATAGAATGAAAACAGGAACAAAGAATCAAAATATTGGAAGTTGACACCCAAACATGAGTTTCTAATGTGACTTCAGTTTTAAATGAAGGTTATTTAGCCAATCACACCACAGTGAGAAAAACAGGTAGTCAGCCACTTACCTAACCAACCAAAAGGTAAAGTGCTTTTCTGGTTGCTAGTGGCAGAGAAAGGGCTGAAGAAACCCATACAAAGTCAAACATTTACTACATATCAAATCCATCAACTGACAGCTATAGTATTTGAAGTTCTTTATATAATTATTGACAGGCCATAATTACCCCTGGCACCTTCCATTTGTCTTTAAAAAAACATTACAGTAGTTGTCCAAAAATGAAGGAGCTCTATTTCTCCATGGGTAAGTTCTATGGCACACAATGTAAAAATTACCTAGACACAGTGATTTAAAGATTTAAAAAATAATGTTTTCAAGCTGTTGTAAGGAAATAAAGTACAGATCCTTTGGAAAAAGTCACATCGCTTGGTAAACAAACTGAGATCTGTCCTTGCACTTCAAGTCATGATGAACCTTGAAAATTATCACATACACATCATGGCATATTAAGAGCAAAAGGAGAAGACGTACAAGGCAAGCCACTACTAAAGCTAGTTTCCTTCTAAAGTAACAACAAAAGATGGTTAAAATAAAGCAAGCATTGAGTCCCTTGATTTAAGTAAATGTGTAAATACACACTTTAACAAAATGTGATCTTAAGGGACTAGCAGTTTAAAAATTCAGTCAATAAGCACAGTGTAATTTTCCACCTGTTACATTTAAAAATGCTGTTCAACCAGCTGCAGAATAGATCAATGTACAGTCAAGTTAGCATGTTGTTTCTTATTTGCAAATCTCATTCATTGTGGTAGGTTAACTAATAATTCAGAACTCAGAATCCCTACCTTTCATACTGAGGTGCTATGGTAATATTAGGCAGACCCCAACTAAGTTTTTTGGTTTTGCCATAAAGAAATATATAAATGTGCTTCAGCAGGTAAGTGGAAGAGTGCCACTAGCAAGAGACTCCAGTGGAGATCCTTTCTAGAAATCTGGTGATTAAGAAAACCCTTCCAAGCCCTAGAGGAAAGCAGGGCACAAACGCCTATTCAATATGTAAGCAAACCAATGACTGAAAGCATTAAATAAGGTTTCTGTAATAGTGGTCACAAAATCAAAAATAAATACTGTTTTACTCAAAGATGGATTTTTCTTTACTCTGTTAGCACATAATATCTCCTGATATACTTTGGGCCAATATGTGCAGCATTCCACACAATAGGGCACTTGAGAGGAACTGGCTTTAGATATGGTGTTCAAAGTCCTTAGCGCATTGGTTACCTCTTTAACCTCAAAAATGTACTTTGGGTACTCAAAAATGTAATCTGCTTCTGTCAGGCTTTATTTTGATCTTGATAGGATTCCATTATTTTGCCAGAAGCTCTCTGGACAGCACAGAAAGGTGTACTGTCAAGAGAATTTGGGGCACATGCGCTAAGGCTTCTCATCACCAGTTGCCCACACTGGCCAGTGAGAACAACTCTAAAAAAGACTGTAGGAAGGCTTCTGCACGCTTCCCGGAAGAAACGTTTAACATGTGCTGTCAAAGCCAAGACAAAAATAAGGTTCTTTCCATTTGTAGTTTTCCATTGCTTGAGCTTGAAAAAAAAAAGTCCATGTTACCAGGTGCTGCCACCGGAGGTGTGTTTGCATCTTGAAGTACAATTTGCTTCTGGTTTCCTTTGAGCATGGATCCTCTACAAACTTAAACACTCTAAATAGTAGAACTTTGCTCAGTCCAGAAATACAGTTTACTTCACTCAAGGTCTGCTTTAACTGACAGTATACACAGGGTTAATAGTGTTTCGATTGCTTCCCAGAAACTGCAAACTACAGCTACGTAATATCAATATGTCAAATTCGGCCATCTAGTGAAGGCTCAGAAAACAAACACGGTGTTTTTTAGGCAGTTCAATGAAAGATCTAAGAGTCGGGCAGTAAAAAGTTACAAACCCTTTTTTATTTTAGAAAAGAGTGAAAAAAAGCATAGAAGTTGCAGTTGTCTTATTCTCGGTTTCTAACTCTCTCTGTCCCAGGAACCTGTTTAAAAAATGATAAAACATGTAAATAAGATGTTGTTTGAGGTGATATAATCAACATAACATTATTGAGGAGTAGGGAATATCTTACTGGCTCTACACTCTGACTATATTTACTGATAAAGCAGACAGCTTGTTTTTACAGTCCTGAAACTGACCAGCTAAAGAAAAAAAAAAAAAACACACGTCTGTGCAGGCCTATACAATCCTCCTCATACTGGCACCACATTCATAACTCAATACAATAAAATTAAAATTCACACTGCACACCATCTTTCTGTTTCAGTGTGCATTGCATTCCGACAACAGGGCTCATCAATAGACTTCCATACCTAGTTTCCATTAAGCTGCTGCTGGGTTAGTTGCTGATCAATTGCTAGTCTTCCCCGGCTTTTACTTTCTCGTTCCTCATCTTCTTCATCTCGCTCGTCATTTCCGCTATGATTTTTACAATACAGCCTACAATGAAGAAAGACAAACATCTCAAAATTCTTGGTCAAATGTTGATGAGAACATAATTAAATCATCACTGGCAGAGGCTGGTTCCCTTATAAAATATGGGTTTCCTCATTCACACTTAGTACCATGAGATAAGTCATGAGGAAAAGGCACCTGAAGATAAGCCCACATGGTGGAAAGAGACAATGGCCTCCCAAAAGTTGTACTCGATCTGCATGAGTACACCAGGCCACAATGTGTCCCCCAACAAAGAAATAAAATAAATGTAACAAATTTCTTTTAAAAACCACTTTTATAGACAGGAGGGCTATTTGAGTTCAAGGCCAGCCTGGGCTCCAGAGTGACACCCTGTCTTAAAACAATCCAAAACAAAATCCAAAAATTAACTTTTGGGTAAACAAATGAACTAACCAAATACTACAAGTTTATTTCAGGTACATAGTTTACAATCACATTTTAAGAAATAGTTTTAAAAATATTCACTTTGTATTTGTCTTTGTGTGTATGTGCACCCAGAAGCCAGAAGATGACAATGGATTTCCTCCCTCAAAGAGCAAAATGCTCTTAACCACTGAGTCATCTCTCTGGTCAAAAAATGTATTAAAGGTGCTTGCCACCAATTCCAATGGCCTGTACTTAATTTCAGGATCCACTTGGTGAAAGAAAACAAAAAAACACACACACACACACACACACACACACACACACACACACATCTACTCTCTATATTCTGTTTCTTTCTGCTTGTATTTCATGACAGTCTCCTTCAAACTCATCCAGCGACTTTGCATCGTGAACTTCTTGCCTTCCCTAGAATAGCTGTATGAATCAGCTGTTTCCCCTGCATTGTACTTGGCCGTGTCTCTTCATCTACACTGGCCTTTTCAACATCTTTTCATTTCATAATACTGACCTGTTTAAGACAGGGTTGGAACAGACAGCTTATTGGCTGCGCCAAACTGGATTTGTCTAGTACTGTTTTATTTGGTTCCACCCGGTATCCTACAAAGCAGGAATAAAATCTGCATGTCGTCAGCTTCTGGTCCAGCTATAGTCTATCATAAGTCAGGATATAGCTCCTCTTTAACTGATCCTGTCCACTTCTAGAGGCATGTCATTTCCAACTGTCCCCCATCAATTATGGTATACTTAATCATATGATTAAGGCAACAGTGACCAAGGCAGAGGTAGTCCTTATATATGTAAGTTCCCCTTCAAAACAAGCAAGTGCTTGCTGGAGTGATTTTTTTCCTTAACATTGTACTGTTCCAGCAAATATTGAAAGTTAGGAACATAGCTCAAGAATGTATATGTTCAATCCCCAGAAAAACGTGTGCGCGCACACACACATAGAAAAGGTGTTCTAAAGAAAATATGGCATATGCACTCAATAATCTTCTGCTTAGCTACAAAGAATGCATTGGTATTGGTGCAGGAAAATGGATGGAAGTGGAGATCATTCTGTTCACAAAGACAAGTGTGTGGAAGCTAGGGATAGAAAGATCATAAAACTAAAAGGGAGACTATTAAGGATAGGGATTGGAGAGGGGCAGAAGAAAGTAACAGGGCTGAGTGTGACTGAACCACACGCATGCTTAACAAACAAAACCTTTTATATAGTTAGTATTTGGTAAACAAAAAGGAAAAGAAAAGAAGAGAAAAGAAAAGAAAAAAAGCAGGAGAAGATGATGGCAGCTGTGGTCTGCATCAAATCCAGTTTTAGGTCATTTTCATACCAGACAAAGATGGAACAGTGCCCTCTTGTGGTCATTAGTGGATACAGGGCCCAGCACAATGACTCATTGCAGTTAATACTTCTAAGTAAAATGTAGGGACTAAAGGGTCCACTGTGTGACTCACTATGTCATATTGTGGCTTC